GGAACCCCTTTCAGAACACATTTCTCTGCAACCACGTGTTTACCGCAGGTAAGGTTTTTTCATGTAAGACGTTCAAATTTTTTATGCACTAATGTAAGATGGACAAATACCTAGTAAAGGCAAAATCTTCTATGATGATGCAGCAAGAATATTCAATGCTTTAAAAAAATAGAAGACGTTAAAAATGTATTATAATGAAAGAAATTTTTTTTTCAAGTCTATTTGTATTTTTTCAGTTTTTAGAAATCTCACTTAACTTTCTGAAATCTCACCCTGTTTTTGAGAAAGGGTGAGAAATTCTCACCCATTTTTATTCTATGATGAAAACACTGATTAAAAATATTACATTTTTTACATATTTAGCATTTCTTGATATTTATTTTTTAGTCCTTTATCTTTAATTTTGTTTACAATAAAAGCTGCTTAAAGTTTTTTTTTCCTTCTTTCTTTTTCAAAAATTACAAACTAGTCTGTTTTTGTTTTATTATAATTATTGTACGATAGGTTTTAAGTTTTGACATTGATCTTTATCTTCTTCTTAAATGTTTATTGAGAGGATAAAATAACTACATTAATAAAATAAACTGCAAACATAAACATTTTCCATTTATATTTTAAAATATTAATTTCATTTTACACTGTCTTCAAAATAAATATGCTATCTTAAATAAACTTACGTGAATAGGTTTTGAAAGTTTAATCATATCATGATGTTCATGCTTGTTTTCTGCATTGCATGAAGAGCAAAGATCAAAATTTTGACACTGAAGGCATTTATAACGATAGCCATAAACTGTCTTATCACATCCATCACAAATTATATTTGGGTGCATCTCATTATGATCGCTCTTTAAATTATGATTTGCTCTCTCTTCAGCCTGTTTATTACCAATAGAGTAAGCATAAATTCTCAATATATCATCATCAGCGCTAGCCAAAGCTTGGGCTAATTCTTCATCACTAGACATATGGATGACATCATTTTCTGAATCTGAAAAACACACAGATTACAAATAATCTTTGTTAAATATAAATTATGCTTAATGAAATTTAACTTAGAAATTGACACTGAAATACAAATTAAATGCTCTCAGCAAATGTTTCTTATAAAGTAACTTAAACTGCTATACTTAGTGCAATGCTAACTTTTAAGCATTCCAATGCTACATCAGCCAGTTTACATAAATTCTTATAGTTTTGCCAAATAACACTTTTTAAATACATAAATGGGTAACTTCAAATTAAAAATAATTTTTATTGCGCACATTTAATAAGAACATAACACTTTTACTGAATAATTGCTGAATATAAATAAATTATTTGCATTGTTCTAATAAACTACAGCAGCTCTATTTATATGTTTTATCGATAGATAATGAACATATTAATAAATAGCTTCAGAAAATAATCAATAATTAGAATCCACATTATAAACATTAATTATAAAATTAATTAGAATGTACTAATATAATTTAAAAGTTATCAGAAAAAACTTAAATAAAATAGACAACAAATAACTTTGAATAAAGTTTTAATATATAAGAAAGAAAATTATTCCTCAAGAACACAGTAATTCCACTAGACTTAAGAAAGTATGGGTCTTTGGAACCTAAGACTGTCCAACTTCTAGGTATTATTTTTAACAAAAAATAATATAAATATCTAGATTATACAAGTTATTCACAGGTCAAGAAATTTAAAAAAGAGCCAATGACATTAGACAGCTTTAGTTTGCTTTTAGATAAACAACAAATATAAATTCATTATGTTTCCATGAAAGAAAATATAAAATAATAAAAGTTTTAAGTAAGTCACAAACCATTAAGATATGCAAACTTATACACAAAAATTACATTAGTCATTTTCAAAACATTTCAGTTGCGATATTTAGGAAAAATTAAAGCCCTTTATTGACTTAATTTTTTTCCAGTGACAGCACTCCAAAGGGAAAACTTCTTTTTTTTAATTTGACCTTACATAAGGGGTGCATGCATTAGGATGTTCATACATTAGGGGTCCTGCAGTCAGAAAACCACATGCGGCCGGCCAGCCAACTGTTGATGTACGGCCTAAGGGAGCCTCTAATAGGAATAAATAAATGTCTAAAATTTTGAATTGCAGATTTGAGTCATATATTTTAAATGCACTAAATTTGCGCTGATTCTATTGTAAATCTATGTTGTTTTTCGATCACTTTTCCATTGGTTATTGCTACGAAATTCCATATTGCTTTAAAAGACCCAATATTTTAAATTCGATAATGCAAATTTCGAAATTGAGTAATTTTTGCAGATTTCATCATGCATCCAAGTAGTATTTCGATCGCTTATTGGCATTTATAATTACCAATTTCCACATGGCTTTTAAGATTACCCTTCTTCATGATTTGTGAGTTATAAATCACGCATCTAATTTATCACTTATGACGTTCTTTATTTGTACCGATTTCATCACAAATCTAAAGGATTTCTTTAAAGGCAGTTATTGCTACGCTTCACCACGCGATTTTGAAAATCCAGTATTTTACTATGATATTTTATTATGTTGTGACTTTCAATTCGCACATTTATATAATCACTTTTGGACTTGCTTCGCTCATATTATTATAAATCCAAGTGACGCTTAGATTGTTTTTCGGCATTTAAAACAACTAATTACCATGTGGTTTATAAATTCCAGATACATTTATTACGACTTGTGAGTTATAAATCGTGCATCTAATTTATCACTTTTTGATGTGCTCCATTCGTGCTAATTTCCTCTTTTTTCAAAGGATTAATTAGTACGATTTTCCACATGATTTCGAAAATCCCACAATTTTATTTTTTATTACAATATTATTATGACACACAAATTTCAAATTGCCCATTTAAACAATAAATTTTTGACTTGCTCTTTTTTTTTCTTCCAATTTTAGCATAAATCTAAGTGACAGTCAGATTGTATTTTAGCATTTATAACTACTACTAATTTCCACATGGTTTATAAATTTCGAATACATTTATTATAATATTACACCTCATGAATTATAACTTGCGCATCTAATTTATCACTTCTTGATGTGCTTTATTTGAGCTAATTTCATCTTTTTTCAAAGGATTAGTTTGTATGATTTTCCCCGTGATTTTGAAAATCCCACATTTTTTTACAATGTTATTACAACATGCAAATTTCAAGTTGCTTAATCTAAATAATAACCTTTTGACATGCTCTGTTTTTTCCAATTTCATCATAAATCCAAGTGATGTTGATGTTTTAATCGTTTTTTGATTGTCTACTAATTTCCAAGAGGTTTATAAATTCCCGATATATTTATTACGATATTATGACTTGTGAGTTAATCATCAAGCATTTATCATCTGCCATACTTAATTTATGCCAATTGCATTGTAAATCTAAGTTGTTTTTCAATGATTTTTTCAGCAGTTTCTGTGATGTTTTCTCACAGTTTTTAAAATTCTGATTTTTATTTCAACAAGCAAATTTTAAACCACACATTTAAATTATTACTTATTGGTGCACTTAATTCATGCTAATTTCGTGAGAAATTTAATCTTTTTTTTTTTTTTTGCAATTATTACGATGCTTTCATTGTGATTTTGATGATCCTGATACAATGTTACTAGACACACTAATTTTTAATTGGGAATTAAAATAATCACTATTTCATAAAATTTATTTCTGCATATTTCATCGTAAGTATAAGTTGTTTGTTCATTTCGGCAGTTAGCACCATGCATTTCTATGTTGTATTCAAAATCCAGATATTTTAATACAATGTTATTGCACCATGAAATATTTGAGAACCTGACGAAAACAAGAGTTTTTATACCGTAATTTCTTTTGTTCTATACAGAATAAACTGTAGTTTATTTTGTTAAAAAAAAATTTTTTAGCTAACGTGATTTTTTTTTTTAGGAAAAAACTAAAAAGAAAATGTTTTTTATTTAAAATTCTGAAACCTCAAATAATTCAAGAAATAGAAATAGCATCTGAAAAAATAATACTAAATAAATATTGAATTTTATTTTGTACTATAATGGATTTGTTTTAATTTCAAGTTTTTGCTTAAACATTGAAAATTTTCTTTAATTAAAATATTTAATTCAAATTTATATTGCTCTATAAAATGTGCATATTTTTTTTTTTTTTGCACTTTCCTTTTGTAAGCTCTACAACAGTCTTTGTTTTTTGGTCAGAATTTATATCCCCCCCCCAAAAAAAAAAAAATTTTTATATATAGATATTAAAATAGTAAATTGGAGAAACACCATTAGAGAAATTCGAAGAGTTAGAAAATTTAAATTTTATTTTAATCAGTCTACAATAAAACTGAAAATAACAAAAAAAATCTACATCAAATTAATAATTACTATCTTATTTAATATGGTAAAATTGACATAATTTGACACTACATAACTTTCAAAATGAGAAAAAATTTATTTAAAAAAGTTCATAAAGCAAATACCTTTCCAAGTCACTTGAACATAGCCTGTCGCCAAAACAGGGAACATTTCTCGGATCTTCCTAACTAAAAGATCAAATCTTGAGACAATTTCACTGTTGACAGTCAGTCTCCTTATTTCAACATTCTGGTTTGGACCAGTAAAGTATACTTTTATAATATGAACCATTTTTCCAATCAATTAGCAGCAACAACTACTTTTTTATATTGTCCTGTAAATAATTAGAAAAAAAATCACAAAATTATAAATAGAAAAAAAAAAGCCTCTATAAAAATCAGTAATATAAAATTAATGTATAAAAAAAAAGTAAAAGCAGAAAAAGAATAAACAATGATTTTATCTATACATGAAACATGTTTGTTTTACATACTTAGAGTTCCTTCATCATTGTTGACATACGGCTTAAATATATACATAGAAATTTTCAAATCACTAACAGGGTTGCCATTCTAACCAGGAAAAAAAATTCCCTGCATTTTCCCTGTAGATACTATTCACTATCTATTAAAAGGAAACACGCTATCACTGCGCTTTTGTGTGTGCTATGTTGTATTAAGTATATTAAATTTATTTACCTGAGAAACTTAAGAGAAAAAAGATACAGCTGAAAATATTTAAAACAAATAATGCTAGGGTAAATTAAATAGTTCAGAATAGCTGAAATATCCTTAAATATGCTATAGATTGGGTGGTCACCGTTTTTTCAAGGACGAAATAAGAAACCAAATTCCCTGTATTTTCTCAGTTGTTAAAGGAAAACTAAAAATTTTCTGTATTTTTCCAGTTTGTAAAGAAAACCTAAAAATTCCCTGCATTTTTCCTATTATTTTAGGTGATATTTAAATTCCCTGTATTTTCCATGTTCCCCCTGTGGAGTGGCAACCCTGACTAAACATATTTAAATTATTCATTATAAAAGGACTGAAGCGTATGATATAAATAATTTTCAATTTAATCCAAAAATTTCCTGCACTGAGAAGAAAAAAAACACTTTTATCAGTTTAAGTTAACATTAAATATTTAATTCTGCAATATAATCATTTAACTCAAGGAGAAATTAGTCTTTAATAATTTTCTCAATCATATAACCTAAAGCTGAACGAAAATTATTAAACAATAGTATTAAATTTCCTCAGTGTCTTCTCTCAAGCATTGAAACAATCAATTCGAACTGAAAAATGAAAACAAATGCGATTTATTTCACAGTTTAAAGATAGATATAAGAACAGTAAACTGATCAAAAAAAGTTAGAATCTTTCTTAATAGTTATTTTCATGAGATTCACAAAGAAATAGTTAAAAACCAATGATTTTTAATAGCATAAAATTTAACCGTCAAAAGTAGCTTTCCAAATCATTCATCTAATAATTACTGATTTCTTTATTTAATATACTGCATAGTATATAAAACTCAATCATATTTTAAGCAAAAAAATTATTTTAACTCTCGGATAAAATGAAATAATCAAATTATAATTACCGTAGATCTTCTATATAATATAGTTCTAGCTTGGGATCACAACTGAATATTGAAATTGTGTTTCTTTCAGTGAAGTTTATATATATATAACAGGAAATATTGCAAGCTATTACATCAATATTTACTACAATATTCAAGAACTTTCCTTAAGTCAATGACAGCTGACAGAGAAAATATGACGCAGCTAATTTGAAAATTTGAAGATCACGATCTGTCTATTCCTGTTTTCTGATGCGTTTGTTCTCTTTTCTGAATGTTTTCGTTACATCATCGCTTAAGTTAAAGTTGCAGTGTTTAATTTATATGCAAAAATCGATTCAAAAAGTTTTCGCGCTGTCTTGAAAGCCGGACTTTTAATAACCCTATACTTTGAGCGTATAAGCAAACTATACCGCGGAATGGATACTTGGCGACTGCAGTTAGAATTAGCGATGATAACGCGTAAATGTGGTGGAAGATAGAATTTACATTAACCTAAAAAGCAATTCGATATTCTTTTTCTCCTCCTCGACTAGCCATGATGAATAAAATATATGCATAAATTAATAAACGCTTCTGCAGGTGTTTTTCGCTAAAATTTCATTTTCTCAAAATAAGTCATTCGTCCTATTTCTCTTAGAAATTAATTGGAATTACAGTTTTATATATATATATATATATATATAGGGGAGAGTCGGGTAGCCCCGACCACCTAAGGAGTTTTGCTTATATTTCTGTATAATATTGAGTAATAATCAATATTTTTGTATGTTTCTATTGTTTTATCATCTAGTTAAATAATGCAAAAAGAATAAACCAAAAAAA